TCTTATCCCCTTCCCCTTCTATTTTCCTGTAGGGCAGGATAGACTTCTGTACCCCATTTCCTGTATTTCTTATTTCCCAGTAGCATGTGAAAACATTTTTTTAAACATATGTTTTTAAAACTTTCGGTTTCAAATTTTCTCTCTTCCTCCCTCCCCATCCACCCTCATTGAAAAGGCAAGCAACTCAATATAAGTTGTTTTTGTCTGTCACTATTTTTTTAAAGATTCTATTTTATACACACACACACACACACACACACACACACACACACACACACACACACAACACTCACACACACACACACACACTCACACAAAGTAATATAGTAGAACTACCATATTTGGACTCTACCACCTCTGTACTCAGAGGGATGCTGGAGCCAGCTTGTATCAGCTCTTAAAGGCCATACCTGATGTTATGTCAGTGAGACTTCCCATTACTCAAATTTTTAAATGAATTTCATACATATGGATATTCTCTTCATCAGTTCAGGTTTCAACACATCCATGCCTGCCTATCCTCTGCTCTTGTCTACACTGTATAAATTTGCTGCAAGAAGTCTACCCAATATGTTAGGGGAGTTCCTTGCTTCCACTGTACTTACTGTTTGTTGAATATTTTAAAAGCTTTTGATTTGGTAGAGAAAAATCCCACCTTTAAGGCTTTCTTTTGACAATGTGTGTCCCATTTAAAGACCAAAATTATTTGATATTCCTTAGAAGATTTCCAAGAAGATTCCAAGAGACTTGGAATTACTTGGAAGTAACAGATATGACCTTCTTCAATGACCTTTTGATGATAAATATGTAATGAGAAATACATAAAGCAGGGAGTTATACTCAAGTCACTGAACATTGTAGAGTCTTCTGGAAGATATCCACTACCACTCAAAAGAGTTTGGTTAACCATCTACACAGGAAAAACCAAGCAGATGAAGAAGGTTTTTTATCCATATTATGACCTGCAGTTAGACGAATAAGCTATAGAGATTATCTATTTATCTACCTATCTATCTTGGGTAGACAATACAAAGTGATGGGTTGGGCCTAAAATTAAACAGGAAGAGGAAAAAAGGCTGGATTGCCTTTGGGAAGTTTTAGAGCCTTTAATTAGCCCTTTCTTCTTTTAGAATCAAAGTCTTATCTTTTTAACTTCAATATTCCACTGGCATTATGTAACTGTGAGTCAATCATTCAACTGATCAATCCACAAACATTTATTAAGCTGATTACAAACCAGTCAAGGTGCTAGGTGCTGGAGATACAAAGATAAAATGGTACAGTTCAAAGAAGAAACAATGTAAGTCATCAGGGAAATGCATGATCAAAAATAATATAAATAGTTTATTGGTTATAGGTGGAGATGATATGTATACATAAACATATACATATAAAATATAAGGTAATCTTTTTGGGAAGGAGGGTGAGTTGTAGCTAGGTATATGAGAAAATGAAGGTGGCATTTGAGCTGGGATTTGAAAGAAGTTAGGTATTCTATGAGGTCAAGGTAAAATGAGAATGCATTCCAGGCAAGGGGGTGGGGTGGGGGAGGGCAGCCAGTGCAAAGGAAGGGAGGTAGAATGTCATGTACAAGGAACAGCCAGGCCATTTGGGCCGGACAGGAGTGCAGGAAGGGAATAATGTAATTATCAAAGTTGAAAGGTTGGTGGGAGCCAGGCTGTGAAGGTCTTTAAATGCCAAAGAGGAGTTTGTATTTTATCTGAGACCCAGAGGTGATAGGAAACCAAAGGAATTTATCAATAAAGGTCTGACCTGTGCTTTAGAAAATTGTATTTGGAGCAATACAGAGAATACATTGAAGTGGAGAGAAACTTGGGGCAGGAAGAGCTGTTAGGAAGTTATCACAATTATCCAGGCAAGAACTGATGAGGTCTTGACCTTGGGTGGTAGCTGTGTGAGCAAAGAGAAGGGAACAGATATGAGATGTTACAGAGACAGAATCAACAAAAAGCATAAAACCCTAATCTCTGAGGAATTTAAAATGAGAATTAGCACAGTGCAGTGGAAAGAACACTGGCTTTGGAGTTAAAGGACCTGGATTCAGATCTCACCTCTCATCATTACTACCTGTGTGGCCTTTATTGAGGCACTTCCATTCTTTAGGCTTTGGTTTCTTCATTTTCAAGGAAGAAAACAAGCACTTATTAGAACACCTACTATGGGTCAGGTACTTTACAAATATTATCTCATTTGATCCTCACAACAACCCTGGGAGATAAATGCTATTATTATCATCCCCTTTTTACAGTTGAGGAAACTGAGGCAAAAAGCAGTTAAGTGACATGCCCAGGGTCACACAGGTAGGAAGCATTAGAGGCCAGATCTGAATTCATATCTTCCTGATACCAGGCCTAGGGCTCTGTCTACTATGCCACATAGCTGTCTCATCTTTAAAGTGAGAAATATAGACTAGATGGCTTTTGAATTCTCCTCTAGCCCTACAGCTATGATTCTATGAGCCTGTAAGTAATACCACTGGGACATGGTACATGTGAGTAGGTTGCAACATAAAACACATAGAAATTTCAAAGAAGAAACAATGTAAGTCATCAGGGAAATGCATGATCAAAAATAATATAAATAGGCTGGTCATGTCATGAAAGTGAGGGAGACCAGTGGACACATGGTGTGATCCATTGATATCCTGGACATTCCAGTCAGCTCAGCACCATGGCATGGAGGAGGGCAATCTGCTCTGTCCTATACCACAGAACAGAAGAGGCCAACCAGTCTTAACTCCAAACTACCAGTCACCATGCTCAACTCAGCAAGCGTATGATGGCCCAACACCACAGATTGAGGTGGTACCTAGACACTGAACTTTCTACTCTTGTCATGATCTGCAGAGTGGATCACATTTTGAATTCTGCTCAGACTCAAATACGATGACTAGTAAATGCCTATCTCTTCTATAACCCTATGGCATTCCACCACAGATTTTCTTTCAAATTGACAACAAATCATTAATGACTCTTCTAATTCTAAATATACCTAATTGCACAATGGTTTCTAGTCCACATCTCTTCATTTTGTCCCCCCCAAAAATAGCAAAAGAGACTTAGCAACAGTATTCCCTAAAACTATCAGTCTGGAAACTTGTAAAAAAAAAAAAGAAATGAAATCAGCCCAGCATTGATGGGGTATAGGCCCTGGAAACCCCCCCTCCCCCAACTTTCTTTGAGTTTTCTTCTTTTCAGACAAGGTCAAGTCTCTGGCTTCCCACTGAAGCAACATTCCAGTAATCCTCTCAATTTGCCTTTCATTGTGGCTATACCCAATCTTCCAATTCTGTTACCTCCCTCCCATTATCTGTTACCTCCCAATCACCCTAGCCACTTTCCACCCTTAATCTATCTAGACTCCTTTCTCCCTTGGCTACTCCTAAGTCCAGGTGCCTGGTCTTACCTACCAGTCACCCCAGACTACTTAGCCACTCCTAGATCACTCCCACAGTCTTTCTGCATATAAGATCTATCTTGGCAGCCATTAAATTGTTCAGATTCTTAAAATCTGGCTAATGCTCAGATTCCTTAAGAGTCTGGCCAATGCTCAGATTCCTTGAGTTTGGCCAATATGGCAGATTGTTAGGATCATTTCCATCCTCTAGTGCTGTTTTAATAAACCTTGTCTTTGGCTGAAAGAAGGTTTGGGTCGAATTAATTCCGGCAGGACCCGCATGTTGCTATTTCCGGGTCCCACCACCCCAAAATCTCAACAGCATGATCTATTTTTCTTAAAAAAAATTAATATCTTCTGTTTTTATATCACCTTCATTTCCAAATATATTCCTGTCCTTCCCCCTACCAAGGAAGCTATCCCTTGTAACACACACACACACACACACACACACACACACACACACAGAATTTAAAAGTAGTTCATCAAAACTAGCCAACACGGTGGTAAAATCTGACAAAGTTCTATACTCATAGTCCCATCCTCTACAAAGATGGGAGGCAGGCAAGTTTTTTCACGTTTTAGGTCATGCTGTCATAATTACATGGTGTTAACTTCTTTCCTTCCTTGCTTCCTTCTTTTCTTTGTTTTCCTGGTTCTGCTTATTTTACTCCTCATCAGTCTATGCTTCTCTGAATTCTGTTTCTCCTTTCTTACCGAAGTCACATTCCTCAGCATTCATGCACCACTAGCTCTTCCCTAGGTGACGGGCGTGTACTTTGTTTTCATTTCTGCGCCCTACAGAAAGTGCTGCTGGGGCTTTCCTGCTGTCTCTGACTTTCTTGGTACATATGCCTAGTAGTGGGATCTCTAGGTTGAAGAGTAGAGACATTTTATTTTTTCTTTTCTTTGCATAATTCCAAATTGCTTTCCAGAATGGCTGGACCAATTTACAGCTCCACCGGGAAATGCTTTTTCACAACAAATCTGTGTGATTTAGAGTAAATGCATTATTATTTTCATTTCATAGAAGGGGACACTGCGGGTGAGCGATTTGGCCAGGATCAAACAGCTACTCAGAGTTGGAGGCAGGATTCGAATTACGCTTTTGGGGGGTTCCTTTCCGCCACCCTGTGAGAAACAAGGGATTTCCCCCCACCACCCCTATTCAAGATTTCACCATCCTGGAGATGTGGAAGGAATATTTTTAACCCCGAGTCAGCGCCCGCCCCTCTGTTGCACAAAACTACAATTCCCTTGGGTCTGTGCGGTGAAGGGCGAGAAAGCGCTCTTACGTGTCAAAGGACAGGAGAAAGGAGTGGAACCGGAAGGCCTGCTGAGATAAGAGCCGAACTCCATTTCCCAGCAGCCTCCGGGCGCGCCATCTCTCTTCCTCTTATCTCCCCCCAACCCGCGCCGATCCGCGCGCGCGCGCGCCGGGGGCACGTAGCGTGGGTGACGCGTAATATGTGGGCCGCTCGGAGCCGCGGTCGCGCCGTGTGTGTGAGTGACTGAGGGAGTGAGGCACTGAGGAAAGAAGGGCGGGAGGGAGGGAGGGGAGACTGCTCGGCGGGGGTCGGGAGTGCTGCGGGAGACCCCGGGAAGGTAAAGCTGGCGGCTGGGGATTGCCGGGGGAGGGGATGGGGCGCGCGCCCGGGGCGGGCGGGAGAGGGAGGCGGGGAGCGCGCGCGGGGCGGCGGCGGCGGTGGCGGCAGCGGGGGGGGAGGGGCGACACCTGCACTGCCGGAGGGGAACCGGTGCCGGGGGCTCGGTGTCACTTTGGGACTGGCCTTCCCTCCCCCCTCGTGGGGGCGGGGTCTCGGCACTCCCTCTCCCCCTCCCTCAGATCAACCTCCTTCCCCTCCCGAGATCTGGCCCCCTCAAAAAAAAACTTCTTGGGGAGTAACCTCTCCTTCTCTCGGGGAGTAAACCTTCTCTTTCCATCTCCTAGTTACTCCTCCCCTCACCCCTTTTCCTCTCCTCTCCTTCCTCTTTCCCACCTCCTTCTTCCCCCTGTCTTCCCATCCTCCCTCTTCTTCCTCCTCCCCTCCCCCCCCGCCCCATCTTCCCTTCCCCTTATGGGGTGGAGTGGAGGGGCATTGTTTCTTCCCCCTTCTCCCTCGAAATCCGCTCTAGTGTGTACATGATGTGGGTTGGGGGTTCCATTTTCTCCCCTCTCCTAGTTATACCCTCCTCCCACTCGGCTTCCTATCACCTAGGTTGGGACCGATTGTCTCTTCCCACGTTTTCCCCTCCCCTCCCCTCCATGACCCTGTCCCGCCTCACTCCTGGACTAGGATTGGGGGAGGAGACGGGGGCGGAGACGAGGGCGGAGCTTTCCAGTTACTTTTCTTCTCCTCCTCCCGGTGGGTTGGGAGTGTCTGAGAGGTGAGATGTGTAATGTGTAGACTTCGGTAAACTGATGCGGAATTGAAACAAACAAAACCCCAAACTAAATACTCCTCGGGTCTCAGCAGATTTCTAGAGTTTCACCCCTTTATACAAAAAAGCGATCTCCAGCAGTTTTCTTACTCAAGGCAATTTTTCTTTCCCCATCGTACTTTGAGAGGTCTTGAGTTTAAAATTTGTTGATAAAGTGGTTGTAAATTTTTTTGTGGGGCGTGATAGCTGTATTTTCTCAAATTTGATTCTGTATCACTTTGTTTGCATCTCATTTTGTCAGGTGGTTTGAATTTTCAGTGAGGCATTATTAATGAACAAAAGAATTTACATTAGTAATAGTTTCCTTTGTTTTAATCTTTATTATATGAAAGTTGAGGCATTTATTAGCTGTCAGCCTGTAATTTTGTTCTTTTCTAGTGTATTGGATTTTAAAGTATTTTATTCCATGTTTATTTAGAAAGGAAGTTAGATTGAGTATTTTTCTTTGTGTTTGTGCTGTCAAGAACTGGACGTGATGTTTGGAAATGAAATGCCTTCACTCCTCATTTTAGTTTGGTAATGGGATTTTTGAATGCTAAAGGTAAGGGAGGCAAAGAGTTTTTTATTTTAGCAAGGGTATGAAAAAAATAATGTTCTCAGTTTTGAGGTAGTTACTGGGTACAGTAACTTTTTCTTCCATGTATTCCACAGTTATTAAATTAGAAATACTTTTATGGCAGGTATAGTCATATTAGTGTCAGTTGTTTTAAATTTATAACTAATTTTCATGAGTTCATAGGCTTTATGAAGTGAATGGAATATGATGGATTTTTAAAGTTGGAGATTTATTTTGTGGGTTTTAGGTGATCTCATGCTTTCAGTGATTCTTGGACCCTACTTCAGCCTAAGTAAAATCGCTTGTAAAATAAAGACCAATTGTAAATATATAATATTTTACTTATTCTTTAATCACCATTAGTTGGATTTTATGTAAGACAAAACAACTACACAAATGTACTAGAATGGTTATTTTTATAGATGGTGGTTTCATCCTTCTTCAGGGCATGTTAATAACATTTTACTAAACACTTGCTCCTTGGTAAGTGAGGTTTAGGGGATAACATGTAAGTTAATATATATGTTGAAGAGGTTCAGGCTGAGTATTTAAAAAAAAAAAAAAGAACTATCCAAGGCAGCTAGGTGGCGCAGTGGGATAGAGCATACTGGGCTTGGAGTTAGAAAGAACTCAGTTCAAATCTAATCTCAGACCCTTACTATCTGTGTGACCCTGGGCAAGTCACTTAACATGTTTTTGCCTTAGTTTCCTCATCTGTAAAATGAACCTGAGAAGGAAATGGCAAATCACTCCAGCATCTTTGCCAAGAAAACCCCAAATGTGGTCTGAAGAGTTTGTTCATGACTAACAACAACAAAGAACTATCAATCCCACAATTTCTGTCAGGCCAAAGCATCAGGAGAAACCTTACCTTTTGTTGAATTAAACCATGATACAGTGTATAAGTGAGGCTTAACTAAAGAGAAGAATCTTGACAGGGAGTCGTTTCTGACCATGGTTTAACCATTGAGTTGTGCTGGGACAATCGTTCTGGAATAGCCATTTAATTTTTTGTGATTCTATTTTTTCATCTGTAAAATAGGTAGAACGGTTGCTGCCACTCTCCCAGTGATTATCGCAAGGGTAGTTGTGAGGATAAATTAGGTCATGCTTTGGGCTTCTTAGAGCAAGGCACAACTAGAATTATGAGGTAGTATCCTCATCTTGGGATTCCAGATTTAGAGGTGGAAGGGATCTAGTCCATCTTCATTTTACTGTTGAGGAAACTGGGACCTGCCCAAGATCACACAGGTAGTATATCCTAGGATTAGGACTTAAACTCTGGTCTCTTCACTCCAAATCCACCATTCTTCTCCTCTACTAGATTGCTTTATGTTGTCATGTTTAATAATACAACAGTGGTCAGTTTACCCAGAAGATAATTAATAGTAATAGCTAGCATTTATATAAAGCTTTGAGGTTTGCAAGGCATTTGAAAATTTTAACTCATTTTATCCTCATAGCCACACTGGGTGTAATTGTTATCTCCATTTTACTGAAGAGTAAACTGAGGCAGATAGGTAAAGTTAGACCCTTGCCCAGGAATATACAGCTGGTAAGTGTTTGAGGCCAGTCAACTTCAGACCTTCTTGACTCCAGGTCCAATGTGTTCTTTCTACCTTCTAGCTCTATGGCATCCTTTATTGTCCAGTTTTGTTTCCTTCAGTTTTACATATCAATGCTCAGTTTCATTTTTGGAGTCTTAAGTTCATGTTCAGCTTTTTTTTTTGGAAAAGCATTTAAAGATGTGCTAACACACAGTGTCATCGTGGAATAAATGGTGTATGATTAGAAATGTCAGGAAGTTTGTTAACTTGAGGAAATTAGTTAATGAAATTTATATACCTATTTTTGGCAGATATGGTTTGCTTCTTGGGAATGGTTGCTTAATATGTCTATGGTGTGAAATGTGAGCGTATCAGAGTATAGGAGGATTTAATTCAATCTTTGTATATTAGTTGTTAGTCATGTTGTATTTTGAACTTTTTTTTTAAAGGCAAAATCAAAGACATCTGTTTGAAAGAGCTTTGATAAATCCAGGTTTTCAGCCAAGTGCTTGTTGGTCAGTATAAAATCTTCATGTAGATGTTTGGAACATATGACTTAAATATATTTGTTATATAGATCTGTTTCTAGGTGATATGTTAGAACTCCCTTGTAAATAACAGAAGTTTATCAGGCAAGACATGTTTTTAGTAACATATTTTCTCTTACCAGGGGATTTACCAGGAGTGGAATTAGTTACATATGAGCATTGTTTTCTAGTCTGCTATCAAAATTTCACCCACTAAGTGGTTATTTCCAAAGTTAAACTTATTGTTGAATATAGATTAATTGAAAGTTCTAACATGATTGCTTGCAAGAATTTCTAGAATGCTTTCAGGGATTTACACGTATGAGTCCTTTCATAGAATTGGTATTTTCTAGAAAATTTATATTGACTGGATAGCTAACCGTATGTGATGGCTATTTAAAACCATGAAGGGAAGCATCTTATGAGATTAATTTTACCATTTACATACTTTACTATTTTGCCTATACTCTGCTTCCATCTTGGCATTGAATCATGTTGAAAGTGATGAAAATAGTTGGAAGAGGAGGAAGTGTTTTGGTATTGTTGTTTAAAAATGGATTGAATATGCTTTTTTTTTTAAAACCAAATATAGTTTAGGGTGGATGAGTACATATGTTTGTGGGATCATATGCATGCTGGTAGATTTTTAGAAGATTAGCTGCTGTGCTCCATGATTAGTTTTCTATGCCTTTTGATGCAGGAATGATTGCTCTTGCTCAGAAAAGCTAGGATCCTTGGCATGATTCCATTCAACGGGTATTTATTAAATACCTACAGTGTGCAAGGTAAGTAATATGCTGGGCGTTGGGGAGACAAAGATGAAAAGAAAACAACCTCATGTCATGGAACTTACATTGTACTAGGGAATATTGTAGTTAAACAGATACAATATAATTTCAGGAGGGAGAGAACACTTACATCTAGGGGGATCAGGAAAGGCTTACCTATAGGAATGGAAGCTGAACTGAACTTTGAAGGAAGCTAGGAATTTTTAGAAGGAAGAGGTGGGAAAGGAATGCATTCCAGGTATGGAATGGAGACAGTCTGGGTAAAGGAAGTCGCAGAGGAAATGAAATGCCAAGTTTGTCATCTGCCAAGTGAGTCTGGAGCACAGAGGTCATGTTTTGAAACTTCAGTAGTTATTAAGGAATAGAAGTTGTTTTGGGTGTGTCTTGATGCTCTGCTGATCAATTGCGTGATGCTTTTCTAATGTTGTAGCTTCCTTTCCAGCAGGCTGGATGTTATAGTTAATAGGAACAACACTGATAAAAGGTGCCTCTTCAGTTGGCAGATGTCTCATAATACTGGCATTGGCATCTTTTTGGATTATTCAGTCTCTCTTCCTTATCTCACTACCAGATATAATTTACAAGATGTAAAGAGTGAAATAAGCCTGGTATATAGACTCTGAAGAAAAGAAAGAGGTTTGTGAGAAAATAATTGAGTACTTATCAACAAGGAAGACTGTTTTTATGTTTAAAACCTTCTGGAATTTAAATTTAGCCACTCTTCAGATGTAGTCACCTGTTTAAAAATTTTTGGTTTTAAAATTATTTTCCAGTGAAAAGAGTTAAATGTATGATAGAAATTCTGCAGAAGGAATGCCCCTATATATAATTCCAAAGTTTTAAAAAAGTATAGTATAGCACAGTATGGTGTTTGGAATATTGCTGGTTTAATTGAAAATTGTTTCTCTGGCAAGTAGTAATTCTACACCAGTCTCTGGTAAGGTTTGTACAAATAATGTCAAGAGGCAGCCTGGTTTTTCGTTTTAACTTGCTTCTTTGACCACAGCTCACCTTGTCGTTCAATTATATTTTCTCTGGACCGTGCATAGCCAAATGTTTGACAAGAAACCAGATGGCTAAAAAAAAAATCAATGCTATTCTTCTTTTTATTTATCCTGTCATTTTATAGCCATCCCTCTCTTTCTTCTCTCCCTGGGAAGAAAATAAGACTCTTAAGACTTTCAAGATTTAAGTATGTCATATTTTCCCCTTGCTTTTCTGAACACCTTATCTTGTTTTCTGACTCCTTCTAAGGGCTTATCTTAATTGGAAGATTTTCTCTTCCGAACGAATGGAAAGTGTTTGGAAGTTACTTCATAGTTTTGTGCTTCTTTTGTCTTTTCTTTCTTATTCTGAATTATTTTCTCCAGAAGATCTTCCAACTTGAGAGAGATTTTGGTGGATTGTCTGTTTTCACGTTTTCATTTTGTCAAAACTTTTTTCTCTCTGTTTAGTCTATTTATGCTTTTTCCTGGTAATTTCAGCGACTTATCATTGCTACTTAACTGATAGCTGTATTGGCTGTATCTGCAGCCATGTCTTGACTATCAGATTATACTGTACTTGATTATACTGTCTTTAAAACTTTTACTTGTGTCTAATATTCTTAAATATTTTTTGAGGTATGTGTGTGTATGTGTATGTGTATGTTGAGAATACTTTCTAACCAGAGACTATTAAAATGAAGTATTTCTCCTAAATGGTCTTGAAGACCATCTTCCAGCTGTGACACTAGCTGTTTGATCTTAGGTTGATCTCTAAGTTTAATTTTCCTTCTCTGCAAAACGAATGAAAGAGTAAAGTATTTATTATTTGCTTATTATATGCAGAACACTGGGGACACAAATAGAAAATTAAGACTGTTTCTGTTCTTAGGGATAATACTTGCATCATCTACCTTATAGGATTGTGATGAGGATTAAATAAGACGTGCAAGCAAAGCAGTTATTAATCTTTGATTTAAAACTACTTTTGGGACTTTTTTTTAGCTCTCTAATTAGAAACTTTATCACTTTTTGTAGGTTTTCCAAATATCTTGCTCCTTAGGATTTCATGAATGATTCCCTCTCTGTGGTTGCCTCTGTTACTTGGACTCTTACTCAGGCTGAAAACAGTCTTTCAGTTGTGAAATTGGCTCAAACCCTTCTTCACTGCTTCATCAATAACTGTTCTGTATGGGAACATTATAATATGATAGTTGCTTTCTGCATGCCATTGTTATAAGTCCAGTAATCTTGTCTGCATTTATTTTTTATTGTATTTTTTATTAGTTTCTGTTTTCTCATTCCATTATTTGCTAGACCAGTTCTAAGTCTGGTAGTGATGTTAATATTTTGTTTCCACTGCAGTACTGCAAACTGACCTTAGTGATGAGTTGTCTGCACCAGATTGAACCTAAAAAAAATTCTAGCTCTGAATAAGAAATAATTTTGTTATGCTCTTAGCTGTTAATTGTTCATTTTGTGAAAGATTACCTTTTAAGGAGTGAGTTCAATGAATATAGCTAATTTTTTCTTGTTCCCTATAAAAATGTTAAAGAAAATTTTATGGTGAATATTAGTCTATTTTATTTTAGCTATGTTACTTTCTGAGTGAAAAGTAAATAAAGCTTCATTTCTTCCAAAAAACTCAAGTATTTAACATATGCAGTCATTAATCTTTGTAGTATGCAGATTAAATAGTTGCACAGCTATTCTGCAGATAATCTTGTATCTATGCACCAGTTCTTTTAAGTGGTTTATTTGTGACTTCAAAGATACATATTGTTTGAGTTAAGACTAGAATCTGAACTCTTGACTTCCAGTATAGTCTTCTTTTCATTAGATTATGCTTTTTTTTCCTAATAGCGTGATAGGTTCAAGAAACTGAAAAGATTTTTTTGACATATGAATACATATGTAAATGAAAGGATAGAAATCACCTCATTTTATGGTTAGAGAATCTGTACATAATTGCTCTGATTGATTGAGTTCTCAGTTTGCTGGGTTCAGGCCAGATGTGTGATTTGTTTAAGCTTAAGTAGGGAGTTAGCTAGCAGTCAGAAATAGAACCCAGGTTTTCTCATGCTAGGTGTTGTTCAGTAGTGTATGACACTTGGTGACCCTTGTGGATCACATTGTCGATGGGGTTTTCTTGGCAATGATAGTGAAGTGGTTTGCCATTTCTTTCTCCATTGGATTAAGGCAAAAAGAGGTTAAATGACTTGCCCTGGGATGTCACAGCCAGTAAGCGTCAGAGGCCAGAATTGAACCTAGGTCTTGTTGACTCCAGGCCTGGTGCTCTATCCACCTAGCAGAATTGTAAACACGTTAGGCAATATTTATTTAGATTCTTCTCTGTCATTAACTTCAGTCAAGAAGTAGTGAAATATAGGTAAGTATGTGAATAAAATTACCCTGATGGTATCTTATTTTTTGGGAAAAGCTAGCTCACCTGGTATATGAAGTTGCATTTGATTACTTATTTGTATTCCACTCTTATAAAACCAGTCAAAGTATTTTGGGGGATCAGTGGTGTAATTATCTTTTATTTTCTTCCTCTCAAATCCACTATTGTGTTCAGCATCCATTTCCCTTTACTCACCCCCATCATGAACATCCTTGGAAGATAATGAAAAATAGATAATTATTATAGAACATCCACTTATTTTGTTTGTTATATAAAGCACCTGTACTTCAGTTTGCTTTGTGTAGTAGGTTCTCAAGCATTTTTGAAGGCAAGGCGAAAACAAAAATAGCAACAGAACTTCCTATGTAACCTGCTAGTACTCTCTTGCGCCAGACCTAGACCTTTTTCACCCTTTGATACTTTAGCTCAAAGGTTGATGTTATCCAAATAGAGACTTTTTGGGGGGGGGTTGGGCAATGGGGGTTAAATGACTTGCTCAGGGTCACACAGTTAGTAAGTGTTATGGGTCTGAGGCTGCATTTGAACTCAGTTCCTCTTGAATCCAGGGCCGGTGCTCCACCCACTGTGCCACCTAGCTGTCCCCAATAGATACTTTTCTGGAGTAACTTTTTCCCTCATCTATGTTCTCTGTTTTGGGGAAGGACTGAAACTCTGATCAACCATTCACCTTTACCTCTACTTTTGGAATCCGGCTAGTTTTGTGTCAGGCTTTTTTATTTTACTTTCCTAGGTCCATGATGATAACTGAGCCATCAGTGTGAAGAGAAATAGGGAGGGAGAAAGAACAAAGATCTTGCTAGAGGTTTGCTTTTCTGTGGTCTCAGATGTGTAAGGCAAGGGGATTCAGAGGGTTCTTAGATATTAACTGATCTTAACAGTAGCTGCAACGCATCAGTTGTACCTTTTTGTTGAAAATCAGTAGATATTGGGTCAGCTAGGTGGTGAAGTGGATAGAGCACCAGCCCTGAAGTCAGGAGGACCTAAGTTCAAATTCAGTCTCAGACCGAACATATGACACTTACTAGCTGTGTGACCCTGGGCAAGTCACTTAACCCAATTGCCCAATAAATATACAAACAAACAAACAAATAAACAAGCAAATAAATAAAGAATAAAGTCAATAGATGTATTTCTTATCTGTAATAATATTTTTCTCAAAAGCCTCATATAATCAAAACTTTGGACTGCTTTTTGCATTTAAAAAAATCATAAAATATTAGAACTGGTAGGAAATTTAGTGATCAACTAGTCTAATCCTCTTATTTCAGGGTAAGAAAACTGAGATTCAGAGAGATGAAATATTTCTCAAGTTATAAAACCAATTAATGGCAGAACAGGGGTCTCCAATCTAGTACTTTTTCCACTATACCATTATATAATTTAGTTATCTAAATTGGCCAGAGTATTGGTTAGATAGTGGGAATTCTAACAAACACTATCTCTGCTCCTTCGTCAGTTAGTTTGGAGAAATGTTGACATACCTTTTTTGGTCTATGCTCATTTATTATATTCCTGCTTCCATAGGCCAAGTCATGACTTCAGGATCAGTGCACGTGGACTCAAAAGCTGAGCTCACTACTTTATTAGAGCAGTGGGGAGAAGGAACATGGCAGCGGGCAAGATATGGTCCCTATCCTCACCAGGTAAGCCCATTTGGTGTTCATCTTTACTAATCTGAAGACTCAAAAGTTTTGGTATTAAGAATTGAAATATATTTTAAGTTGGAGAAGTTCTAATAGTGTCACATGCTAATTATATAGATAGCCGTTGGTTTATTTATTTATTTATTTATGTTTTACATTTTCATTTAAATGATTTCAAGGCATCCTTTGTAGAGAGATTGAAAAGTAGAGGTCAAGCCAGAGAAACTTGTCAGCTGAATGTTCCAAGAATGGACTCACTGAAGCTCAGGGAAATATAATAAGGCTGTTCTCAGTGGCAAAGCAATAAAGGGGAGACTCATTGTTTAAACACTGAAGAAACAATATGTAAGGGATAAAGAGGAAAGTAATCCTAAATAATAGTTTAGTAATGAATGTGGTGGGAAGAATTGCCTCCCTCCTGTGCTTTATCCTTTACAAAGTATTTTCCTTTCAACTTCCCTATGATATACATATGTTGCAAAGGAGAATGGAATTGGTGTAGATTATTTCAGAGGTAGCAAAAAGGAATGATATATAGCTCCTTTAATTTTTTTTAAAAATTAATTAATTTTGAATTATCAACAATCTCTTCCATAAGCTTCTGAGCTTAAAATTTTTCTCCCTCTCCTTCCCCACCTCCCTCCCCAAGGCGGCATGCAATCTCATCTAGGCTATACATATACATTCCTATTAAACATATTTTCACATTAGTGATGTTGTAAGTAAGAATTAGAACCAATAGGAGGAACCACCAGAAAGAGGAAACAAAACAAAACAGAAGGAAAAAAATAGCAAATAGTATGCTTCAATCTGCATTCAAATTCCATAGTTCTTTCTTCTTTGTGGATAGTATTTTCCATCATGAGGCCTTTGGAGATGTCTTAGATTCTTGTCTTGCTGAGAAGGGTTAAGTCTATCAATATTAGTCATCACGCAACATGGCTGTTAGTGTGTACAGTGTTCTCCTGGTTTTGCTCGTTTTGCTCACTTTACTCAGCATCAGACCATACAAGTCTTTCCAGGTTTTTCTGAAGTCAGCTTGTTCATCATTTCTTACAGCACAATAGTATTCCATTACATTCATATACCACAACTTGTTCAGCCATTCCCCAATTGATGGGCATCCTCTCAATTTCCAATTCTTTGCCACCACAAAAAGAGCTGCTATGAATATTTTTGTACATGTGGGTCTTTTTTCCATTTGTATGATCTCTTTGGAATATGGCCCTAGAAGTGCTATTGCTGGGTCAAAGGATATGCACATTTTTATAGCCCTTTTTGCATAGTTCCAAATTGCTCTCCAAAATGGTTGGATTATTTCACAACTGCACCAACAGTGCATTGGTGTTCCACTTTTTCTACATCTCCTCCAACATTTATCATTTTCCTGTTTTGTCACGTTGGCCAGTCTGATAAGTGTGATGTGGTATCTCAGAGTTGTTTTGATTTGCATTTCTCTAATCAGTAGTGATTTAGAGCATTTTTTCATATGACTATAGATGGCTTTAATTTCTTCATCTAAGAACTGCCTGTTCATATCCTTTGACCATTTATCAATTGGGGAATGACTTTTATTCTTATAAAATTTTTTTAATGTTTTTTTTTGTTGTTGTTTTTAGGCAATTGGGGTTAAGTGACTTGCCCAGGGTCACACAGCTAGTAAGTGTCATGTGTTTGGTCTGAGGTCGAATTTGAACTCAGGTCCTCCTGACTTCAGGGCTGGTGCTCTATCCACTGCGCCACCTAGCTGCCCCTATTCTTATAAATTTGACTTAATTCTCTATGTATTTTATAAATGAGGCCCTTATCAGAGAGACTGGTTGTAAAAATTCTTTCCCAGTTTTCTACCTTCCTTCTAATCTTGGTTGCATTGGCTTTGTTTGTGCAAAAACTTTTCAGTTTAATGCAATCAAAATTATCCATTTTGCTTTTCGTAATGTTCTCTATCTCCTGTTTGGTCATGAATTCTTCTGTTCTCCATAAATCTGATAGGTAAACTATTCCTTGCTCTCCCAGTTTGCACACAATATCAGCCTTTATATCTAAATCATGAACCCATTTTGACTTTATTTTGGTATATGGTGTGAGATTTTGATCTTTGCCTAGTTTCTGCCATAGTCTTTTCCAGTTTTCCCAGCAGTTTTTGTCAGAGAGTGAGTTCTTATCCCGGAAGCTGCTGTTTGAGTTTATCAAGTAATAGATTACTGTAGTCATTGACTACTGTGTCTTGCGTACTTAACCACTCTGTTTCTTGACCAGTGCCAAGCAGTTTTGATGATTGCTGCTTTATAATAAGGAATGATGTATCTCAAGAGAATATTGTGGGAATGATGAGCAGATTATGTATTTTAGCTGTGAAAGAATGGGAATTCAGAAGTGGGCATGATGTTTAGACCATTAATGCAATCAGCTGATTGGCGTATGTGTTTTGAGCACCTACTATGTGTTCAGCTCTGTTCTGAGTGCTGTATGCAAAAGAATTGTAAGCCAACATTTCCCTCAGGGAGTTGACAGCACATTTGGTAATAGAAGATTGTAAGTCAGGGAATAAGACAATAGGTAATTAAGTGTTAAAATTATGTATTACTGATTATAAGTACTCTTGCAGTTAAGAAGGAGAACTTCATTAGGCAAGTAAAAGCCACATCATTTCCCTGGGCCTCACTTTCGATATCTGAAAAATGAGAAGATTGAATTAGATCTTTACCAACTGTAAAATTCTGTGGCTGGAGGAATCTGGAAGCAGTATAGTATTAAAATGGTCCATATTTATTTAGTGCTTAGTTTTACCAAATAAATTTTTCCCAGCAGCCATGTGAGGTAGGTGTCTTCAGGTAAGGATATTGGCTTGTAGAGGGGAAGTAATTGCACAAACTAGTAGTTGTTAGAAATGTGATTTTAACTCAAGTCTTCTAACTTGAATTAAGTGTAGGCCTTTTTTTCATTATACCATCCTGCTTTTCTAGTAGTCAGGGAAGGTTTTGTGGAAGAGGGTCTTGAGATGTGGCTTGAATAGGTTTGAGGTTAGGGAGAAATGGGTATGCCATATCAGGGGAAATAAAGATAACAGCATTAAGGTGGGAATGATCATGAGTTGTTTATGGGGTAACTAGAGATTGACTGAGCTGTAGCAAAAATTACATTGCAGAAAAGTAGGGAATAATATTGGATATGTTTAAAGAAGGACCTTGAAAACGAGACAGAGGACTTTAGAGTTGGTGTAATAGAGAGCCATTGGAGGATTTTGAGCTTGTTGTGATGAAAGGTAGTGTTTAAATAGGGTTAGTGTGGCAACAGTATAGTAAGAATGATGTGACAGACTGAGGCTAAAGTAAAGGGAAACTTGCCAGGAACTACTATAGTAATCCAGGTATGAGGTGACCTAGACTGGTGCCAAGAGGACAAGATAGTCAGGAATTATAATGGTGCTGTTTATTTTCATAACTAGTGGGCCATTTATAACTCTTCTAATTTTCTCCATATTTGTATATTTTGTTTGCTTTTCTATTTTATCTTTTCCAAACAGAAGAAATTTCTTTTTCTGCCACATAGTTTAGTATCCATTTATCTGTAGCTAATCCAAATGGTGGCAAGAAGACCAAGTAAAACCAGATTAAGACATTCTGCTACCTAAAACTCTGTAATATATATGGATCAAGCTATTTAATGAGTAGTGTACTAGAGCACATTGAAATGAGATTACACAAAACATTGGGTTTTGGTTTTTTTGTTTGTTTGTTTGTTTGTTTTTGAGATGACCTGTCATTTCATTGGTACAAGGAACTTTCAGTGAGCAGACTCTCTCTCCCAGTGGAGATAGACATCTGCTTTGCAACTCCTAGTTTAAGAGGTATGGTATATAGTGCTGGTATAGGGAACTTTGAATGAGCAGACTCTCTTTCCAAACATAAATAGACATCTGCGTTGCAACTCATAGTTTGAGAGGTATGATATATAGTGCTGGCCTTAGAGTCAGGAAGACCTAGTAATAAGTAGCTAACATTTATGTAGTGCTTTAAGATTTGTGAAATACTTTACATGTATTATCTTATTTGATCCTCCTAACAGTCCTGTGAATAGGTGCTATTTTTAAAACCCTCATTTTGCAGATGAGGAGACTGAGGCTGCCAGAGGTTGTTGAATGACTTGTCCATGGTCACACAGTTACTGAGTGTCTTAAGGCAGAATTTGAATTCAGGTCTCCTTGACTCCAGCTTCACTATTCTATATACAATGCCATGCTGCTTCTTATGATTTAGGCATAAGTTACATCTTCAACACATACTGTCTGTGTGACCCTGGGTAAGTCACCTATTCTCTTAGGGCCTTAGACAACACTAAGCTAGGTTGTTTCTACTATTTGTTTGCCAGACTAGCAGTTATGGAGACTGGGGGAACTTAGAGATCCTGCTGTATGTTTAGCTTTTTAGAGGTTATAGTACTCACCTGAGTCAAGTTTTTCTGGACAGATTTCTTTGTCAGTTCTTTATTAACAGTGGATAAAGAAATATAGAAAAGCTCTTGGAGAGTGAAGTTTTTGTAATGTAACAGAGTAGAGGAGCATTTGTAATCTCCGAGATGCAAAATGTTCTCTCTTTTAATATACAGGGAAGTGGGTCTTAGGTGTTGGAGCTGGAAGTGGGGTGGTGGTATCTGATCTGATCACTGTAAATTCTGGACATTTTGCAGACAGTAATCATTTGTTTTGCAGTAGGAAAAGAGATAATCTTCATATTTGTTGCCTATTCTCTTTGCACTTTTATTCAAAGTCCTAGTGACAAATGCTGGACCATTTTGGGGGGGCATATTTGTACATCCGTTTCCTTTTTGACATATTCTTCACTGAAGTTTCCTGAGTCAGTTTCCTCAGTCAGGGTGTTGGTGCTAAGGTGTAGTGATTGACAACAAATATTTCTTGGTTCTTGGTAGTCTTGGGGAATGAGAGCTCTTTACTGCTTTACTGTAAGCTTTTATACTGATAATCTGTTAAGTACCAAGAGATGTCCTGCATAGATTTTGTCATAGAATTATAGAATATCAGAGCTGGAAGGAACCATAGAACTTAACCCTGTTCTTCTTGTGGTGCCCCTCCAGTCCCTCCAATCTTTAGTTTCGTTGGTTGTACTCTTTTTTCCTTCCCCAACTTCACCCTTTGGTGAACTGGTTCAACTCTACGTTATGTTATGTTCTATTCTTGAGTCCTTTGTCCCCTTATCCTGTCTCTGATCATGCCCTGCCAAGGCCCAATCTTGTGTAACTCCTACAATCTGTAGTCTCCTCTCCTATTTATGTGCTGCTGAACAGAGCTGGAGAAAATCACAAAATTGTGCTGACTTGAGTCTACTGCAGATTTATGTTACATATTTTTAATTGGGCCTTCTATAGAAAGGCAGTTCTTTTACACTTACCTAATCAGTTCACAATCCTACTTACCACAGCAGCTTTATCCGTCCTTTTCATTACTCCTCACTTCTCCCAAGTTTTCCCCTTCCCTCACTTTCTTGGCTGAGAACCTTGTGTGATATTTAATTGAAAAAATTGAGGCAATTCACTGAGAGCTCCCTCTTCTCTCCTTCTCTTGACTTCACATCACTTAGTGCTGTCCCCCCACTACCCTGTCTCACATGAAGAGAAGTGGTCCTTCTTGCTAAGGCAAACCTCCTCTGTGTGCCCATATAATGTCATTACATCCTCTTTCCTCCAATAGATTGTCCCCTCTTATCAGCTTTACTCTCTTGCTAATGCTCAATCTCTGTGACTACTTCTGTACATATTTATTTCTTCCCCATCCTCAAAACCCTACCATTTGAACCATCTACTCTCAGAAGCTATAATTCTATATTTCTCCTTCCTTTTGTGGCTAAACTCCTTGAGAAGAAGTTGACAATCAGTGCCTCTATTTCTTTTTTCTTTAACTGTCTTCTTAACTCTCTGCAGTTTGACCTCATTTTTTGGCTGAAACTCTTCTCTCCAAAGTTACAAATAATCTCTTAATTGCCCAATCTATGGATTTTCCTCAGTCCTTACCTTTCTTGGCCTATCTATGGCGCAGTTGATTGCCCTTTTCTCCTTGATAGTTCTCTCTTCTCTCTCTAGTTTTTCACGCTCTCTTCTGGTTCCCCTCTACCTGTCTGTCAGCTCTTTCTTAGTCTCCTTTTCTGAATCTCTAAGTCCCACATGTTAACCATAGGTGTCCTCCAAGGCTCTGTCATAAACCCACTTCTCTTTTTACTCTATAATGTTTTTCTTGGTGATCTCAGCTCCTATGGTTGTAATTATCATCTCTGTGCAAATGATTCTCAGATCTTTTTATTTGGCCCTTATCTCTCTGCTGACCTCCAGTCTTAACATTTCCAACTGCCTATTAGACTTCTCATACAGAATGTCTTGTAGACATCTTAAAATTCAACATGCCCAAAACTGAACTCATTATCTTTCCCTCTCAAACCCTCTCTTCTTTTTAACTTCCTTATTTCTCCTCCTAGTCACCTGGGCTTGCAACCTAGATGTCATCCTTGATTTCCTCACTTGCATTCTTTCTCCCCGTTCCCCCCCCCCAAGCGTGGGCAAGCATGCAAACACACACACACACACATACTCCACACACACATTCTCTCTCTCTCTCTCTCCCTCTCTCTCTCTCTCTCTCTCTCTCTCTCTCTCTCTCTCTCTCTCTCTCTTCTTATTTCTCTATTGCAGGTAACCTGGTTAACCTCTCTGCCTCAGGTCTCTTTGTATTCCATTCCATCCTCCACTCGGATGCCAAAGTGATTTTCCTAAAGTGCAGGTCTGACCATGTCATTCCTCTACTCAGTAAACTCCAGATGCTCCCTATTGCCTCCAGGACCAAATATGAAATCCCATGTTTAGCTTTTAAAGCTCTTCATAACTTGGCACCTACTCCATGATCCAGTGACACCAGTCTTTTTGCCATTCTTTAAATACTCCATTTCCTGACCTCATCCATGCCTAATGCTCTCTCTCTTTACTTCTGCTTTTTGGATTCCCTGGTTTCCTTCACGTCTTAGCAAAAAAATCTGCTTTCTACCAGAGGCCTTTCCACCTTCCGCTTCTTTCTCCACTCTGCTGGGGCCTTCCCTCTGAAATTACCTCCACATCTTACTCTGTACATACTTTGCTTATATGTAGCTTTTGCATAATGTCTCTCCCATCAGTATATGAGCTCCTTGAGGGCAGAGATGGTTTTTGCCTTTCTTTGTATCTCTAGTTCCTAGCACAGAGGAAGCACTTAGGTGCTTGTTAACTGACTGACATTGCTCAGGTAGTGCTAGAGTTGGGACTTGACCACAGTTTCCCCTCTCAAGGACTGGTGACCAAGGCATTGTATATTTAGTGTTGGAAGGGGCCTCAGAAATCATCCAGGACAATTATTTTGTTTTTTAGTTGAGTTAACAGGTTCAGAGAGGTGAAGGGACCTGTCCAAGGTCACACAGGAAGTAATCAATAAAAGCAGGATTTGAACCCAGATGCTTTGATTCCAGAACCTGTCAATCATTCATTGCTCTTTCTACTCTACCAGGTTGTCTCCTGCTTTCTCCTACTTCTTGCTGCCTCATCAATATTAGTAAAATCCTGAAACTTTCTCCCCCTGCCACATATTTAAAAAAGATAAATTGAATAGCATTTTCATTTGTTTATTTTTATATGTGGTAAGCCTAAGATTAACACAGTGTTTTTTTTAAAAAAAAACTTTAAAAATTATTCTCCTAGTAAAAATGTGTAAGCACTATTAATAATAACAGCATTTATATAACAATTTAGGGTTTGCCCAGTGCTTTATGGTGCAGAAGATAGAGTGCTGGCCCTGGAGTCAAGAGGACCTGAGATCAAATACAGTCTGAAACACTATTAGCTGTGTGACCCAGGGCAAGTCAGTTGTCTCAGTTCCTCATCTGAGGATGAAGAGAAAACCTCAAATGGTATCATGGAGAGTCAAACATGATTGAAATGACTCAATAACAACAGTTATATGTTGTTATAATAATACACATATTGCTTTAAGGTTTGCCCTTTCTGTATATTATTTCATTTGAGCTTCACAACAACTTTGTAAAGTGGATGTCACTGTTGTTATCTCCATTTTACAGATCAGGAAACCGAGGCTGAAGGAAATTAAGTGTCTTGTCCTGGTTCACACAGCCAGGAAATGGGTGAGACTGATTTTTGATCTCACGTCTTCCTAACTCCAAAGTCAAATCCACATTCTACTACACCGCAAAGTATAATGGTAGAATCAGTTCATCAAAAGAGACTTTTATGGCTCTCTTGTAGGATCATATGATTAATATGCAGTAGTAGATGTAACTAATTTTTTACTTGAGTTTTTATTTCCCAGAGCTTGAAATATCTGGGTTTTCCAGAGGGATTTATGGAGTCTCCAGGTGCAGAAGTTGTTTGTTGTTTTTTCTTCCTCAGTTGCCTTTTCCACGTAACAAGGAAATTGATAATACCTGACCAGGCAGCTTTGGGCTTGGTAGTCAGGAAGACCCGAGTTCAAATCCTGAATAGGACCTTTACTAGCTGTGGGGTCCAGGACAAGTCACTTCACCTCTGTCTTACCTAGTTTCATGTAAAATGGAAATAATATGGAAACTACCCTTCAGAGTTTTTTTTTGAAGATAAAGTAAGATAATATTTGTAAAGAGCTTTGCAAACTTTAAAGTATTACACAAATGCTAGCTATTATATCAGTAAGTGTATAGTATAGATTAACATCCTTTTGGTTCTCCCAAATTTCAGTATTTGCAGAAAAGGGAATTATTTCAAAGTTCATGTGGCAAAAGGCACAGACATCTAGGCTTAATGTGGAAATAGTTTGTTCAGAGTTACCCACAAGTTTTTTTTCCAACAGTGCTTACCTATTTGTTACATAAAATGGTATAGTTTCTGTGAAGGAAAAGTCTGTGTCTGTTAGGAAGTTAAGAGAAGTTGTGTGTATTGGCTGAGCAGAGAAAGTCAGAGATAGTGACCACTGGAAAAGATCACTTTTGGGAGATTCACTGGGAATTGAGACTTGAGGCTCATGTGTCAGATAGAGTATAGTCTGATCATCATGTTGTTTTGTTCCTTACTGACTCCCTTGGTTTGCAGGAGAATTTGGTAACACTCTTGGACCTTAATTTGAAGAGACTATGCTGACAGAAGTAGGAAGAGTGGATTAAAAAAGGGTCTCATTGCACCAACCTGTCTGAAGCTATGGAACTCTGAATTCCTCTTTAATTGTGGGCCAAGTGCAGTTAGTGTAGCAATTATTAGGGAGTCTTGGTCAGCAGGCACTTGATCTTTAAGGTAGTGACCTTAAAGAGACACTCTGTTGAGGTTTGAATTTCAAGTGTTGCTTTATTAGTCTTCCTCAGCTTACATTTTTAAAGTAAGTTTGGAGTTCTTTCGCCATAGAAAAATGTGATTGCTCTTAGTTTCTAGTTGCAGTTTTAGACCCTGACTTGTGATTCTTTTTTCCCATTTGTTCTTGTCCCTTCCTGACTCTTGGGTTTTCTCCATTGTTTTCCTTTACTTGCAAAAAGGGTTATTTATATGTGCTTATCTTGCTTCACTGTTGTATTCAAGTGCTTTGGACAAAAAAATCTGCTTTCATGTTTGCTTCAGTGCTGTCATGCTTGTGTTTGAAAGGAAGGGACAAATCTTGTTTGTGTCCTACTGTTCTGATAGGCTGCTGTTTTATGAAAGGTATTCACATATATATATCAGGAAATTCCCCCCCCCCTTTTTGAATTTTCCCATTGCATATCAGTGGCTTTCTTCTTGCAAATGTGACTTCAGTGATTCAACAAGTTTGTCAAAGTTCTTGCCATGATTCAGGCACTGTGCTTGGCTCCAGAGATATAAATAATAAGAAGGAAACAACACTTTGAAGGAGCTTATGCTCTAATTGTTTGAATGCCTGTCATCAGTGAAGTTGAATTTTTGGTACAATTGTCAGTTTATGACTAAAATGTTTCTCTCCTTTTGTATTAGGATGTCAGAGTTGATTGAGAAAGAAACTGAAGAATATCGTAAAGGAGATCCAGATCCATTTGATGATAGACATCCTGGTAAGATCTCTGTTTACTGATTCTTGTGTCTGATCTTTGTAAAATAAGGAAGCTGCCAATGGAAATAAATGTTTTATATTATTAGACTTCGGATTTTCCAATTACTTCGATTAGTTCAGATCATGTCTGTGTGTTACCCAGTTTGTTTCTGAGGAAAATGAGAATATCTTTAGACTTTTGCAAAGTTTCTAGAAATCTTGAAACCATGGTAAAAATAGAGAAGAAAAATAGGAAATTCTGGAGGAAATTGAATCATGTGCAATGCTTTGAGGGTAGGATACACTTTACAGATCAAAAATCACTTTGTTTAGAAATCTGAAGTGGATTATGCTTAACTTGGTTGGCTCATAAAAGGATCACATTTGTTATATTTAGATGAAACCTGAAAAATTTAAGAACTTGTTTTTTCTTTTTTTTTGAAAACAAAAAAAATCATTGGAGTGAATTTTTTTTCACATTGTTCACTTTTTCCTTCCTTAAACCATTAAATTTTTTAGATGATGGCATTATGCCTGTTTTACAGATTAGATAACTTTAGCAACAAAGCAGCCATTTATTCTATAACAACAGTAATTATAAACATTAAATGCCTATTGTATGCTAGACATAGGGTTGATACAAAGTTTAGATAAGATGTGACACCTGTTGTCATGGCACTTGTAGTCTCATATATGGTATAAGATGTAGCTATAATAATGTACTGTATTGTTACAGAAGAAGTCTGGCAGCATCCTTGGGATGCAGCACAAAGACTGCTAGCCTAGGAATCCAAGGAGCAGGGCTGAACCATGGGCCCAACTCTACACAAGTCACTTAGCCTCTGCAACCCCCACTAGACAGCAGTGAGAAGTCTAAACTGGATGATCTATGATCAGTTCCTTACAACTCAAAATCCTAGGCAGTTAGAGGCTCATAAAAGAGTGTTAAATAACTTGCCCTAAAATGTGGAGTTGGTGCTAGAGCCTAAAATAACGTACATATCTCCTGTCTCTTTAGGTTCTAGTGCTCTCTCTGCTGGATCATACTGTTTATAGTAATTTTAGTTATTTACTTTGGGCTAGTTATAATGGAATAAAATGAGCAGTTGGGTGACGCAGTGGAGAGAATGCCAGGCCTGGAGTCAGGAAGATTCATCATTTTCCTGAGTTCAAATCAGGCCTCAGACACTCATGAGCTGTGTGACCCTGGGCAAATCACTTAACCCTATTTGCCTCAGCTTCTTCATCTGTAAAATGAGCTGGAGAAGGAAATGATAAACCACTCCAGTATCCAGAAAACCCCAAATGGGGGTCTTAAACAGTTGGACACAACTGAAATTACTTAACAATAACAAATCATAATGGAATGTCAAAATAACACAACCTGCTTTAGTATGTGATTTGTTATAATTTAGTGGGATGCATGTATTAGACTGACTAACAAGTGTAAGATCTTGTCACAAGATCTTGTCACAAGGTCTTGTAATTTTTTTCCTTTTAATCGGAATATAAACTATATTTTCAGCAGAATATAAATGAAAGCAACAAGTTTTCCTGGAAAATATGTATTTGATTTATCTTCCTCCAAATTAGGAATGCAAACTAGAACTGCATACTTCTTCAGTGGCAAAAAGTTCGACATTGTGCAGTTTTCTGCCTCTTAATTTTAAAAAGTGGCAGCAATCCCCGCATTTATTGTGTTTCAAACAAGGATCTGAGAAACATTATCAAAAACAGTAATGAAGGCAAAAATTGGCAGACATCCAGCATCTTGTTTCTTATTAAAACAATGTGGATGACTAGTAATTTCATGATTAAAAAATGAATTTCTTTTAAATAAATACATTATATCTGACATTTGCACTGACTGATTTGATAAATCTTTAAGTAAACAAAGGCTTTACTACACTCCTTGTAGCCTCAAGCCACTGGTGTTAAGATCCCGTAGTCCTTTCTCATTGAGTCTCATAACCTGCCACGCGATATCCAGTTTGATTGGGTAACATGCTGCCATTCTGCCCTTCAGGTGGCTGTACTCCTTTCCTTATTAGCCTTCAGTGCCAAAATAACTTTATCTGAAAGATCCCCTTATTTTCTTTTTATGCATTTGCTCTTCTGTAACCTTTCCCCTAAATTTTCTCTTCCATATCCCTTTTATATTTCTTTTATTTTTAAAAAATTGTATCGCCTTTTTTTCTTTCTTTAAATAGCTAACTCCCTAAAGACACTTCTTCACAATAGAACCCTCTCATATCATATCTGTATAGATATATCTATATAGATAGATAAATATATAGAAAAACAAATCGACACATTGGCCATATCTGACTATGCTTTATGTTGTAAATAAAATCCATCACTTGTCTGACAGATGGCAAAGTATGTCTTAAATTTCTAAAGTCAAAATTGGTTTGAGTTCTGATACCTTTCAGTGTTGCTTTCCTTTGTGATGTGATTATGTGGATTGTTCTCTTGGTTTTCCTTATTTTGTTTTTCATAGTTTATACAATAGTAACAGCTAGCTAGCATTTATATAATGCCTTAAGGTTTACGGAGCACTTTAAAATACTATGTCATTATGTCCTCACAGCAGTCGTGGGAGTCAGGTGCTATTATTATCCCCATTTTATAGGAAATTGAGTCAGACAAAAAAGTAGAGTGACTTGCCCCATAGCTAGGTCACATAGCTAGTGTTTGAGGCAGGATTTGAACACAGGTGTTTTTAACTTCAGGACAAGCACTCTATCCACTGTGCCACCTAGCTACCTATCACTATCAAGTCATCTCAGATTTTACTGGCTTTTATATTCATTATTTCTCCCAATGTAGTAATTCTCTGTTAATGTTAATATTGCATAATTTGTTTACCTGTTCCCCAGTGAAGGACACCCACTTCGTTTTTAATTTTGTGCTGTTACAAAGAAAAGTTGCTCTAAATATTTTTGTGCATAAATGACTTTTCCCTTTGCCTTTGACCTCCTTGAGGTACTTGTCGAGTAATGGTAGCATTGGTCAAAGAATAGGTAAGGTTTAGTGACCTTTCTACTATAATTCTAGATTGCTTCATGGAACAAAAACGTTGTGATTTTATGCTTTCATCTGTAATTCAGTCTGATGGCATGGATCCTGAAGTTCTGTCAGTTATAGGGAACTTCATTGCTGTTTTAGAAGCAGCTGGGTGATACAGTGGTGGACAGAGTGCTAGACCTGGACTCAGGAAGACTTGAGTTCAAATCTAGCCTTAGTTACTAAATGTATGACACTGGGCAAGTCACTTAACCTCTCTCTGTCTCAGTTTCTTCATCTGTGAAATGGGAATAATGATAGTACCTATCTCTCAGAGTTGTTGTGAAGCTAAAATGAGGTAGTATTTGTAGAATGCTTTGTAAACCTTAAAGTGCTACGTAATCCTAGCTATTGTTATTACTGTTGCTGATGGCGTTGTTTCTATTCCATTGCCAGTAGTCAGAACTATTGGCTATTCCTCTTTATTATTAATTTCACTTAAAGTATCAGATTTGGGAGAAATTTAAGTGCTGAATATAATGTAATCCTACAACCAGAATTCTAATTGAATTAACTCAACAAACATTTTATGTTGTTAATTCTTAAAAATAATTAATTAATTTTTAGTTTTCAACATTCACTTCCATAAGATTTTGAGTTTTAAATTTTCTCTCCCTCTTTTGCCTCTCCCCTTCCCAAGATGGTGTGCAATCTGATATAGGCTCTACTTATACATTCCTGTTAAACATATTTTCACATTAGTCATGATGTAGAGAATAATTAGAAATAATGGGAGGACCCACGAGAAAAAGAAGCAGCAAAGCAACAAAAGAAGAAGAGAACAAATAGTGTGCTTCCATCTGCATTCAGACTGCAGAGTTATTTCTCTGGATGTGGATAGCATTTTCCATCATGAGTCTTTTGATGGAGTGGTCTTAGATCCTTGCATTGTTGAGAAGAGCTAAGTCTGTCAAAATCAGTCATCACACAGTGTGGCTGTTACTGTGTACAGTGTTCTCCTGGTTCTGCTCACTTCACTCAGCATCAGTTCATGCAAGTCTTTCCAGGTTTTTAAACAACATATCTTAGGATTGTGGTTCTCAATCCACTCTGCTATCCATTTCTATTTTATGAGTTCATCTCATTCATAGTTATGATTACTATCTGTGTTTTTCTGTCTATGCTGTTTTCCCATTTATGCTTTTTTTTCTCCTTTCTCCCTTTCCGTTCTCACTAGTTTTGTTTTCAGCCACTGCCTCCCTCTGTCTGCCCTCCCTTCTGTTGCCCCCTCCCTTTTCTTCCCCTTTGCCCTTACTACTTCTTCCCTCCCTTCTGTCTCCCCCTTCTTGTTTTTTCACCCTTTCCCCTTCTACTTCCTGTAGGGTAAGTTATATTTCTATATCTAACTGATTGTTATTCCCTCTTTGAGCCACATCTGTTGAGAGTAAGGTTCAAACAATGCTCATCTCTGTCCCTTCTTTCTCTGTAATAGGTTTTTGTGCCTTTTCATGTGATAGAATTTACCTAGTCTGCCTCCTCCTTTCCTCTTCTCCCAGAACGATCCTTTTTCACCAATTAATTAGATTTTTTTACCATCATATTAGAGTCAACTTATACCCGTGACCTCTGTCTGTGTAGGCCCCTTTTAAATATCTTAATAACGATACAGTTCTCAAGAGTTACAAGTGCCATCTTCCCTTGTAGGGATATAAACAGTTTGTCCTTATGTTGTTTTTTTTTCTTTCCTGTTTACCTTTTTATACCTCTCTTGAGACTTGTATTTGAAGATCAAATTTTCTGTTGAGCTCTGGTCTTTTCTTCCGGCAGGTTTGGAAGTCCCCTATTTCGTTGAATGTCCATCTCCTCCCCTGAAAGACTATGCTCAGTTTCACTGGGTAGTTGATCTTTGGTTGTATTCTGAGCTCCTTTGCTTTATGGAATATTGTATTCCATGCCCTCTGATCTTTTAACGTAGCAGCTGCAAGATCCTGTGTAATCCTGCCTGTGGTTTGATAT